CTGCAAGGAAAGCCTGATCATCACTGGTAACCCTGCTATGATGTCATTTCCAGCCAATCAGGAGCGGTGCACTGGATTCTCAAGTCAGAATGATGCAGTTTCCAGTTCATATCTGACCTGACAGGCAGTGATGATGACGATGATGAAGCTAATAATGCATACAAACAAACCATACCCATTTTTTTTTTTTTGCTTAGCATAAATATGTTCTCACATAAATATGTAAGAACGGGTTCTAAATAGTTTTTATCATGATGTTAGTTGCTAGGGTGAACAGGACTGTTGCTAAAATGTGCAAATTAAAATGTGCTATTATATTATAAATATATATCCCTCGTGTTGTGTTCTAGAGATGATTTTCTCTTCCAGAAAATGGGTATAAGAAATGTTGATATTTTTTTGGATAACTTTTTTGGATTTTTTCTCCATCTTGTTACTTATGTGGTGTTCCCTGTCAAAAATGGCCGGTCTATATATATATATAAAAAATGATTGATCATAGTTTTTGAGCTGACATTTACCAAAATTATCCACAAATAATGCAGTTTTCGCTCAAAAGTTGAGGTGCATAATGAGGCCTGTGATCACTCAGTTCCAAAAAAGAAAGTTCCGAAAACAAGTTGACAAAGAATTCAAGATTTGGTGATAAGCAAGCAATTTTTAACAAGCCTGTCATTTTTGACCATATTTGACCGCCCGGGAACAAATAAATGAAATGTACATGGGAATATAGGAATAGGGATGCTAAGTTTAGCAAACAGCACTTATTATATAAAACAAACAATACTGATAATTATTTCAAATTCTTTTCTGCTATATTAAGCCGTTTCATTTTTCAGTCTCATTACGTAATGTGCTTCATACAAAATACACAATAAAGCAAAGCTGCAGTACAATTTTCTGACATCAGTAACACATCAGTCTAATTGCTTGAGTGTGTGATACTTTGTGGCAGAATGACTGATGGGCACACTTTGCTTAAGAGGAATATTAAGGTGTTCTAGTTGAATTATATTAGAACATATTGTGATGAGCTCATTCTGGCACACCCCTCTTGAATAATACAGAGCAAAACAGTGAATTATTCATAGTCATGCTTTGTTTTGAGTCAAAACTGCACAAATGCTTGTCTATTTCCTAGTAGTGATGTTGTATTTTGGTCTCAAAACTGTCCACAGTGGCATATATCAAGGTCAACAATATTCTTAGGCATTCTTAGGACAAGTGTTGTTTAATAAATATCAAGTCAATTTATGTTGCAATAAAAGTACAATTTATTTTTGAGTCATTGGAACACTACTTTCCTTCTGCAGTTCTGACATTCAATCCACTTGTCCAAATGTTACGATCCATTAGGCATCATTTGTAGCTGTAAAGCATTTAGCATTTAAACGATTAAGTCAAAGCTCTACGTGATCTGATTCTGTATTCTAGGTGTGAAGTGCTCTGGATAGTGTGATGTGAGAGTAGGTCATATCTGCAGGCTCTAAACTCAGGACATGAGTCACATGACATCACTCTAATGGTGCGTGCTGCATGACTCATAGCTTTTAACTCTAGCTGTCAGTATCTCTCTGGCCTGGGCTTACGGTCAAAACCATCTACATGCTTAGACATGCTGTTTACTTACAATAAACAGAGAACAAAAGATGATGACATCACATGCAGTCATAAAAAAATAAAGACATTGGGTATGTTGAAAATGGAACATGGTGTAGCTATACTGTATAGCACCTACTATTTCTTAAAAATAGTATGTGAAGCAGCATGCAATAACATGATAAATGTTTCAAACAGTAGCATGCTACTATTGTTGCCACATGACTTCAGGAGGCACTGTATGTTTAATTCAGTAAATGGCATCCATTTTCATCTTGTAAATAAATATGATTTTTCTGAATTTTTAATCAGGCATGCTACCTTACTTTAGCATACATACTATTAAGTGTAGCACTTTACATTTACTGCACTATGAACATTATAATTCAAAACAGTGAATAATTCATAGTCATGCTTTGAGACAAAAAACGCATAACTGCTTGTTTTTCCCTTGGCAGTGATCTTTTGGTCTTAAAATGATCCACGATGGCATAATTTAAGGAATAGTTCACCTAAATACAAAAATATACTGAAATGTTACTCACCCTCAGGTCATCCAAGATGAAGATGAGTTTGTTTCTGTAACGCCAAGCCAGCAGAGGGAGCCCTCGCCCGAGTACTGACCGTGCTTCACTCCCTCTGATTCCTCTGCTTTCACTTCCTGTTTGACTCTCATATAAACTGAGACCAGTCCATGTGCTGATCGCGAAGTATTGCCAGTTGATCTGCCTTACCAAGCGTTATTCTTCCTCTGTTCCTGATTGATTTCCTGTGTATGATTCTGCCTGACTTCTTGACTCACGTTATTTGTACTCTGCCCCTTTTGTTCTGACGCCTGATTGGACTGATGTTTGTGTTTGGACTCATTGCCTGCCTTTCCACTATTGTCTCTGCTTCTGCCCCTGTGTATGACGAACGATCTGCTTGCTTCTCTGACTTTGACCCTCTGCCTGATTATCGACGTCTGTTTAAAGCCTTGACCTTTAATAAACTTCCACTCATGGATTCTAACCAAACTCCAGCGTCTGTTACAGTTTCCTGATCAGAACAAATTTGGAGAATTTAATATTACATCACTTGCTCACCAATGGATCCTCTGCAGTGAATGGGTGCCGTCAGAATGAGAGTCCAAACAGCTGATAAAAATATCTCAATAATCCACAAGTAACCCACATGACTCCAGTCCACCAATCAACATCTTGTGAAGTGAAAAACTGCATATTGATATGTTTGCACTATATGAACATGTGAATTTTCTTTATGCAGGTTATCTATGTTTCCCAAAATGTGCAGTATACACTGCACTAATACAATGCTTTCAACTTGACCTTCCATTCCCAGTATGACAAATGACCCAAAACTCATATCAGCTGCAATACCTGACATTTATTTTTTAGACTTCTTATTAAAGGGGTCATATGATGTGATTTCAAGTTTTCCTTTCTCTTTGGAGTGTTACAAGCTGATTGTGCATAGATAAGATCCCTGAAGTTGCAAAGACTAAAGTCTCAAACCCAAAGAGATATTCTTTATCAAAGTTAAGACTCTGCCACGCCCCCCTAAAACGGCTCGTTCTGACACGCCCCCTACCAAAGACACATTGACACAATTTTATTTAAAATGCTAATTAACAATTTTGTACTGGGTATGATAACTAGACCACTTGAAAAAAATGTGCAAAACATTAGGTCAAGTGACAATGTAAGATACTATAGTGTCTGAAATCTTAAAGGAACACTCCACTATTTTTGAAAATAGGCTCATTTTCCAACTCCCCTAGAGTTAAACAGTTGAGTTTTACCATTTCGAAGCCATTCAGCCGATCTCTGGGTCTGGCGGTAGCACTTTTAGCTGTAGCTTAGCATAGATCATTGAATCTGATTAGACCGTTAGCATCTCGCTCAAAAAAGACCAACTGGTAAACTCAACCACATAGTGACTCACGCTCTGTGAAAATCCAAAGGCATCTGCCATTGTTAGGTTTGCCACACAACCTACACCCCTCAGAATGTGATGAGTCACCCTCACAGGGAAAGCATGCTCGCATCTGTTCACGACTACTCTATTCTAGAAACGTACAGACTAAAGTTAAAGTCTGCAGAACATGGATGCACTGAGTATAGCTCTTAACAATGAGAACATGACCTTTCAATTAATGCAATTCCTCTGAGAAAATGCAAGGTTATATTTTCTGCAGGTTTTATGAAAGTAAATTTAACTCTTAAAGACCTTTTTTAGACCAAGGAAAGAAAACTTAATTAATAAATTAAAGGTAACACAATAAAACATAGCAGCACACAAGAAGTTATATTAGCAACGTTTGAAAATACAGCTTCCAACAGATCTCCAGTGCTTTTAAATTACTTTTACTAAAATAAACAGCTTAAGGTTTGAATAGAACTAGAATATGGAAATAACTTTTACTGTACCTTCTGATCACACAAATTGATGTCCGTCCTCAGTAATTGTGTCGTTTTCAAGTGCAAATGTATAAAAGATTTTTGAATCAAGATAAATTCACTTGAGAAGCAAAATGACAGGTTAAGAAGTCTTGTTTTCTGTGAAATTTATCAAAATGAAGTGAGCTTGTGATTAAAACAAGAACACATATTGACCAAATGGCTCAGAAAACTCAACTTAATTCAAAAGGAAAACAAGTTTTCATACCCTATCACTTAATTTTGTTCAGTTTCAGACTTAATTCCTAATTTTGCATCTCAAGTAAATGCATCAAAGTAAATGTACCAAAAATACTGAGCAAGAGCAATTTTTTGCAGTGCATGCAACATTTAATGCCATAACTTTATGAATTTAAGACTTTCTGCACCTATTTTAATTTGTGGAAGGGTGTCTATCAAATCACTTTTAAGCCAGTCTTGAAGCAGCACTTGACTAATTCAATAGCTGAATGAAGTTTCGGCATGCAAATTATCAAATGGTCATTCTAGCACCTATACTGTGAACAAAAGAACAGGAACTAAATGTTGTTTCCTCTGAAAGTTGACTTTCTATTACCTCTCCAGTACTCAGATTCAAAGTCTCGTTGAGTGGTATTTCACTCATGTGAAGGTCTACAAGAATCTTAAGTCATGAAACAGAGGGGCTGTAGGTGTGAATCTGTATCCCACAGTCTCACTACACCCACTGGGTCCCTCTGCTGCCATATGGCTGCAAAACCACTACTGCCCACCCGTCATCTCAGCACACGCTCTGCTCCATTCAATATGAACACGCTGAACGCTTCTTCAAATAAAACATTATGAACAGACAAAGTAAGTTTGCAGCAAGGCAGATCTTGTATACATATATATATATATATATATATATATATAAAATATT